TTTGATTATGAAAATTTTGAAGTTCTAGCTAAAGACGACATTTACATGGGTCCTTAGTCTATTTTTTCTAGTCTTTACTTTCCAAAAGAAATCTTTTCATGCAATTATTTCCAAACCAAATAAAACCTTATGGCCCAACCTGTCGTCGTTGCCTTAGTCTGTTCCACTTTAGTATTTATTCACTTTGGATAAATGTTGGGTTTTTTTCAGGACATCCATGGAAACATAAGCTAAAAACTAATTTTTTTCGTAAAAATTCGATTTTTTTCTAGTCAGAGAAGTAATGTGAAGGAGAAAGATTTATTTGAACTTCCAGATCTTCCTCCTCAATCTGGGTTTATTATGGATTCAGGTATATTCAGGGGTATATATTTTCTTCAAAAATAATCCTCCCCCCTTCCCCTTCACTCTGGGAAACAAATTTTTTTCTCCAGATATTTTGTTTCGCTGAATTTGGAAAATTATATGACCTGCAGAGAAAAATTATTCAATTTTTGCGTAAAAAGGTGAAAAAGCTTAAACCAATTAATGTTAATTTTCAATTTTTTCCCCCCAAAACATTAAAAATCATGATAGGATTTTATGCTTTAACTGCGACATAACAAATCCTAGAGGTTACTGGACTACTTTGCTGAAACCGATTTACAATTTTCTGATTGCTCACTGCAGACACAATAGATAAAAATAGAATTTGATCGATTTCAAATTTAATTAAGAAAAAAACGAGGGTTTATGTTTTCTTAAAACAAAAGTTTTCCTCTCTTCTTTTTAAATTTTTGTTCTCAGTGGAGGCTTCTTTTAATTTGTCGATTTTTTTTTTGGTGGGGGGGGGAATTTTACAAAAGGGTGAAAACTTGATTTTCTCATGTTCAATTTTTTCTTTTTTCCCCTCAGTAAGTACTAAGCATCGAAACTCATTTCCCCTGTTATCCAAGTGATAAAAAAGTAACCTAACATATATATTTTTGGTTCAATGAAAAGTGGCTGTTTTCTTGCTTGTGCAAAAATCTACTATTTGTAGAAATGCTTTAGTACAAAAAATAACTTATTAAGAAAATATTGCTTATTCTAATTTAAAGATAAACTTTAGAGATTGTACTAAACCCTTATTTAATTTAGGGTCACTTCAACTGGTTTGAAAATTAAAACACAATTTTCACTTTTGCTTAAAATTGTAGAAAAAATCTGTTTATTTTCAGAACAGGGAATGCAGTTCCACATGGACATTTGCTGGGTCTATACCATAGGTTTGACTTCTTTCCTTATTTTAAGAATTCATAGATTTACATATCCTTGATAAATTTATTCACCTCATTCAATATTATTTTAAATATAATATTTATCCTTCTATCTGTCTGTCTTATTTGCCTATCTATCTGTCCATCTATGTCCTTCTTTCTGTTTATTTATCCGTCTTTTATCTCTTTATCTGTATACCTATTTCCCATATCGGGGGTGGGGGGGGGGGCTTTTNGTGGGGGGGGGGGGCTTTTATATTTAACCTCTTATTTCTTATTCTTATCTGTCAATCTACCTTTCATCTGTCTAGGGTGTGTAAGTTACTGTTCTACCGGATAAAACCAGTTTTTGTGTTTGACGGTCAACCTCCACAGCTGAAGAGAGATACCCTGATCAGGCGACGAATGCGCAAGTCCAAGGTTAATCAGATTCTGTAAACCAACTACCACCGATATCAGCTTTTGAAAGCAGAAAAAACTTTTTCCTTAAACATACAGTATTGTTCTATTGCTAGGTTTCAAGAAAAGCTAATGCAGCCAGCGCTAAGATATTGGAAAACTATTTAAAAAGCCAGGCTATAGCTCAGAAACTTAAAAGGTAAACAAGTTGACCTTTTCCTATTTAGATTGGTTGATTGATTAATTTATCGCTTGATTGATTGATTGATTGATTTAGGCAGACATATGCAATAGAGAAGGTTGCAAAAAAAGGAACAGAAGGAATTCATAATATTTTAAGGTTGGTAAAATATTTTAAAATTCAGAATTTTATCGTCACTAAAGAAAACTTTAAAATAAATCTTATACAGTGAGACCCTTAAAACTGTGGATAAGGAAGATAAATGTCAAAGTGATTAAATACTAAAGTGGGCCAAACTCATAGTTGGATGACGACATTTTATGTCCCAAGTATTTAAATATATACATNTTTTTCCCCCCAAAACATTAAAAATCATGATAGGATTTTATGCTTTAACTGCGACATAACAAATCCTAGAGGTTACTGGACTACTTTGCTGAAACCGATTTACAATTTTCTGATTGCTCACTGCAGACACAATAGATAAAAATAGAATTTGATCGATTTCAAATTTAATTCCAATTTTCATTATTCACGAACACTCCCTTTTCAATAAAGGGTCATCTAAATAAAAGATGACAGTTCCTTCAACTGCAGGAACTGATGATGATGATGATGAGAATGAGGTGTATGAGGTGGCAGACAGGGTGGGTCTAGACACCTCGGACATCTACAACCTTGACGTTAACTCCGAAAAGTTCAAAACTCTACCTCAGGGACATCAATATGATATTCTTAGGTACATTTACAGAGGTTTTCATTTTGAATAATTATCTCTCCTCCCTTCCCTCCTCCCTCCCTTCTCCCTCCCCTCCTCCCTCCCTCCCTATCTCCATGATATTGGAGGACTGCTTTATGAAGTTATAAAGGACGAGAAAGGAAAAAAGTGTCTCCTTTTTTACACTTTTTACCCCAAAAAAGTTTGTTTTTTTTCATAAATTTTTTTTACCTTTTTCGTTTATATTCAGCCGAAGAAACTTTCCCTCGAATTCCACATGTTGTGATATGTTTTAATATTAAATAGAACGACTTGTTGTCTTTTAGATAATAATAATAATAATAATAATAATAATAATAATTCAGACGTGGTATACAGAACACGTTGGAGAGGGTTAAGAAAACCTTAAATTCGTCTCATGTAAGTTAATTTTTTTCTCACAAATTCTGCAGGTGTGGCATTTACTCACTTTGTTTCCAAATATTTTGCTAATCTATATATATATGTACTTTGCTTGTCTGTCTGGGTGCTTGTTGGTTTGTATCCAGTAAACGTCAAAACGGCTAAACCGATCGGGCCCAAATTTTTGTGGGATCTCACATGACCCCAGGGAAAGTTTAAGGAATATGGATGTTCAAAATTACAAAAAGTAATTAAGTCTTTGTCGCACACACAAATGTTTTAATCCCTATATTTTGGTAAGCTGATAGTGTAAACCTTTAATATTTCAAACTTACATTATTTTATCTAGCAGAATTCATAGTTTGAAATATATAAGGTCTTTGGCATTGGATTACAAAGATATGGTGTTTAGAAAATCAGAGTTTGTGGAAAAGACTCAATTCCCTTATGTCCAAAAGTATTCGATTTTGGTAGAATTTTAAAATTGCGCGAAAAAATATTATTGAATCCGCGAACTTTTCTTGTTTTTGTTTTACATTTTACAAACGATAGAACCACTATTAAAAGTTAAAATAGAAGTCTAGAAAACTAATAATAGTTAACATTTTCTTGTCATCATATTAAAAATAAATTACCTTTTTAAATTATGTTAAATTTGTCAAATATTTTTTGAGCTTTAAAAAGTCAAAAACTAAAATATTAATAACGGATTTAGAAGGCTGTCCAATGTCCAGGTCAATGTCTAATTTAATCGATCCAATTTTGTTTTGTCTGTTCTTGTCTATTTATATATCTGGGATGAGAAATTTGTTGGAGATCTCTGAATCTATCTATCTATCTATCTATCTATCTATCTATCCATCTATCCATCTATCCATCTATCTAGGATGAGAGATTTAATCAGGAACTATTTGTTGGTGATCTGTCCGCCTTAAAATCCATCAAGAAAGAGATTAGAAAGGAAACTAGAAAACTTTTCATTGTTAAATCATTTTAAACTGGGATTTTTTTCCATCAAACACTTTTTATCCCAAAAAAAAAATTCCTCCAAAGAAAATTTTCTTTATGGCAAAGTGTAAAATAAACAAATTTTAGGGTAAAATAATTAAAATTTAGTGTACTACACAAAAAATATACTTTTGTGTGTAATGAATAAATTTTATTGCAAAAAATGAATTTCAAAAATAAATATCAATTCTGATTCCTACACCCTTATTTATGTTGTCATTTTATCCCTGACTGTGAAGATTTATTTATTTCTTTTCTTGTTTAAAATCTCTCTGGTTGGGTAAAGGTGAATTCTAACTCGGGTTCCACGCTAGTTTACGCAGCAGGGTTACAGGCTGTTCAGCTTAGAGAGGCTCAGGTAACAATTGATTGATTGATTGATTGATTTATTAGTTTCTTCATTTAAGGATTAATTAATTGATTCTTTTAGTTCCATCATATATTCTTTCATTCATTTATTCATTCATTCAATTCTTTTATCATTTCATTCTTTTATTAATTTAATTCTTTTGTTTTGAAAAATGGTAATCTGGTTTGTTGATAGTTTAGTTCAATTGTCTTAATTGGGTTGCTATTTTGGTGGATACATATATGGGTTGTTTGAACGAATGATTGATTGTGTTTTATATTGATTAAGTGATTGATTAATTGATAATTGATGTATCTTTTTTATTTATTTATTAATTGTTCTTTTTTTATTAATTGATTGATAAATGTATGGATTGTTTAATTAATTGATTTTTTTAATAAATGAATGGATTGTTTAATTGGTTGATTGATTGATTTGTTGATTTGTTGATTGATTGGTTTATTTATTCATTGATTGCAGGAGAAGGCTGCTAAGGAAGAGGAGAGGAGGAGGATGCTTGAGTTGATGGAGGAGGAGAGGGAGCTCATGGATATTCCACCAGGTAGCTCAGGAGCTCACAATGAACAATACATTTTTTTACTTTCTCATTTTATTTTTGTAGATTTTAGATGATAGAGTAAAAATTATGAACGTTGAACATATCTTTTTTTCTATCTGATGCTTTTATATTTTGATTTCTGAAGAAAAGTGCGGTTTTATCCATCATTAACAACGAAGGATATTGTTTCTAAGGGTACAGTTTTGAATCGTGCATGCTTCTCTTTGATTTTTTTATTTTGACTTTTTTATTTAAAAAAATCTTTGTCAGCAGATGAATTAGAGAAGGCGAGAAAGAACAGCTGCGAAGTAGATTCTGAAGAGGAACAGTTGGCTCAAGCCATTGCACTCTCGTTAACCGATCCAGGTAAACAAGGGCTGGACTCTCAGGTCAAATAAAGTGCTGAGATTAATTCGTTTCAGGACCTTCATGATTTTTGTGTCATGACATTTTAGTTAGATTAATATAAAATAAAAATCGCTTTATATGAGCAAGTTCCGCTTGCAACTCCCCCACTACCACCCTGCTTCCATCCCCTTCCCATATCCTTTACAAATTGCACCCCCCCCCCTCTTCCATGCACTTCCCCTCCCTTTACAAAACTCCCTAACACTCATGATTTGATTTGATTTGATTTGATTTGATTTGATTTGATTTGACAAACTACATTTTCAAACCCCAGGGGAATAATGTTTTCTGTGTTTAATATTAATTCTGATTTAAAAAAGGTTTTTATAATGTTAACAAATATTTAGGGCCCTCCCAGGAGGAGCTTTACACCTTGATAAAGCAAGAAGGAGGCACTAAACCCTTGAATCTTATTTCTGGTTCATCCTCGTCAAAACCATTCAAAACTTACTCGAAACCAACCGGTGGGAAGCCGGTTAAATCTGAAAACGACATTCAAATTATCGAAGACGACGACATTTTGCTGCTTCCTGCTGCGTCTTTTATTACAAGTAATAGGTTTGGCGGTCAGTCTTCCATCAAAAAAGAAATAAAAGGGAAAATGCTGAATATGTGTAAATTTATGTTAGGGGGTTAAACTTGGCAGTACGTTTAGATGAAACTTTTTTTACTTGTTGACTTTCAGAATGAAATTATGAAAATTTCGAAAAGGAATTTTAGATGGAAAAACAAATATTTATTTGTAATTCATTACCAATGCTTAAATAAAGTTTGAATGGTTAAAAATGTTAATCCATTTATATAAGGAGTAATCTCTGGTTGTTTGGATGTCTGATCATAACTCATGAACCTCTTGACCGATTTGCCTCAAATTTTGATTGGGGGAACTCAGCAGAACCACGGAAATGTTCTTAGCTACGTTTTGAGATTCTAAGTTGAGCGAGTTTTATAGGGTTAAAAATAGCTAAAATCATAATGTACGAGCAAGTGCGGGTAAACGGCGGGAGTAACTATGAGTAACCTGGACAACGCTGGGTTCCCAGGCTAGTATTTAAATAAAGGAACGTTTAACACATTTTTAAGAGTTTTATATATTGAATTTCGAGTCAAGTTGGCATTTTGAGCAGAGGAGGTTATCAGCGATACAGAGGATGATTTAGATAAGCTTACAGTTAGTTCTAAACTGGAGACAAAAACTCAACAATATTCAATGATGGGTAAATATCTCCTTTTGTATAAAGAATTGTTACGTTTTTGCAAAGAGGTGTCTAACAACGATTTTTACAATCTGTTTTAATACAATGTCTTCTTTTTTTCATTCTTTCAAAACATTGAAAATATTTTGTAGAAATTTACAACAATGGCGGAGATATATCGAAGAAATCACCGGTGTCCGACGTCGGAGTAATGAGTGAATCCTCCGACAGTGGGGGAGGTGATGATGTGGGGATTATGTCCGATAGTTCCGAGGATTCCGGAAGCAACACCGATACATCAAAACCTCCAGTAGATGACCTCTTTTCAGACATTTTTCAGGCAACCATTTTTAATACTGGGTCACCCACAATTAACAAAGGATGACACAGTAAAGACGACCTGAAACTCTTTAAATTTGGTGAAATGAAGGTTTCTGTTTTAATTGTAGTCTATTAATGGTTTATTAAATGATTTGGAAAAGAGAAAAACAAGTTTATAGTTACAGGGAATCCTAAATATAAGGAATAAACAGCATAAATTATCTACAGTCGTCTCATCCTGTGTGGGTGATTATGCAATTTGGATGATGGTGGTTTTTTTATTTTATTTATTGATTATGAAACCCTCTCCCTCCATTCTCAATTACGATGTATTTTCAAATATTTTTAGTATTTGGCCAAAAAAATCGACAAAAAGCATAATAAAAGCTGAAAAATTAAAACTGAATTTTGTCTCACAAACTTTTTGGTAAAAAAGAACATGTTTTGTTAATGATCCTTAATTTTTAGGATACTGGAAACGTAGCAAAACTGGAAGAAATTATTAGTAAAGTTGAAAACCCAGAATCCAATCTAATTAAACCAGTGTCTTTGACTCTTCTTGATTCCTCCCCTGTTAGTGTTACTATTATTATTCCCAGCAATACCACCAACTCTCCTAAAGTATCCAAATCTGTTGAACCTGCATCAAATTCTCTTGAAGCCGTATCCAAGGATCGAACCGAGATCGAAGACCTGCTTCAGCAAGTTCAGAAACTAGATAAGGAAAGAGACATGTTCTCAATGATATCTAAATCTGCGCGAGACAAGCTGGAAAAGAAATCAATAGTGCATCCTGCAAAACCGATCATTTCAGGTATTTAAGGAAAACAAAAAATAACTAGCTAACAGTTAGATAATACTTAGTTAACAGTTAGATAATATTAATCAATTTTAGGCAAAAGTGAAATGCTTTGACGGCCTTGGTATATATTTTAAAGAATTACGGGGACGGGGGGGAAGGGGTTAGATGCTCTGATAAAACAAATTTCACGTGAAAAGGAAAGATCCCTTTTGATACTTGTTGCCCAAAAATTCACTTATTTTGTCCTGATTCTGAGAATAAAACCTAAAGAAAATAAAATAATTATAGAAAACTATTGTTAGGAAGTTTTTTTCTAGAAGTACAGAAGGATGTTGCTGATACTCAGGATGATGAAGAGGGTGATGAAGTTGTTAATGAAGAGGATGTCGATGAAGGTGCTGAAGTGGAAGAGGTAGCTAAGGCTATGAGATCAAGTTCCCATCTTTGGTTCAAGGTTGCGTCTAAATACGCCGAACAGGCAATAGCAGAGGTAGGGTTGGATTTATTGATTGATTTATTAGAATATTTCGTTGGATTGTGCTATCAATTTATAGACTCGTTCATTGGTCTTTATTTCATTTAATGGCTGACATTGACATTGTTGATGCAAATTAATTTATTTTTTGATTCACTGTCTCATTTGTTAATTTATTAATTCATTGACTTATTAATTCTCATTCATTTAATGATTTCTAGATTGATTTAATAAATAAAAAATTTGATGAAATTTATCCGCTAGAGCCCGACTAAAGGTAGTAAGAGAAGCTCTGAAGAAGGCAGTCCTGCTGCTGCTGCTGCAAAGAAGGCCAGAAATGACACTAATGAGAAAACTGAGATTGATCTGGAGCAAGAAAATCTTGTGAAGGTCAGTATTTACAAATATTAAAAACGATTTCTAAAAAAGTTTACAAATTATTTTTGATTAAAATAAGAAAAATGTTTCTTAAAAAATTAAAACTTAGGTTCAATGCAGTTGACAGTAAAAATAATGTATGTATTGACCAAATGTATGATGGATGAAATGTATGATGGACGAAATGTAAATTGGCCAAGTGTAATTTGGCCAAATGTAAATTGGCCAAATGTAAATTTGCCAAATGTAAATTGGCTAAATGTAAATTAGCCAAATGTAAATTGGCCAAATGTAAATCGGCCAAATGTAAATTAGCTAAATGTAAATTGGCCAAATGTAAATTGGTCTTATGTAAATTGACCAAACATAATTAGACCAAGTGCACCCACTCTTTGAGATGTCCTTTTTATCCAAATTCTTATTCAGTAAATATTTTATCGAGGAGTTAAAAAAATATATGTGACCATGGTTTTCTAGGAGATGAAGGAGAGGGAGGCTGCAGACCGTCTGCTCAGGTTCACCAGCATCAACTACAATAACGAGGACATCCTTGTCACCAAGGAGGACAAGGAGGAGGATGATGAGTTTGATGATGAAGTTGGGGATGAGGATCTGAGAAAATTAGGGATTAAATCTCTCAAGGCTGAAACATATCGGGATAAAATCCTTTTAGAGGAGGGATTAATTTCTAAAAAATCCAGTGCTACCCCTACGCTTCAGCAACAAAGCAATATTGGAGAAAAGGAGAAATCTAAGGATAATTTAAATTCTTCGGTGATTTTTTCCTCTTCAGTTCCAGGATTTTCCAGAAGCTCGAAGGTTTCCTGATCTTTCATTTTTAATATTAATTTTTGTTACCTTTAAAATCAAATATTAGGGTGCCCTGACACAACTTTTTAACTTAAGTTTTGCTTATTATTATGATTACTTTTTTACAAACTTAAAAGGAGTGTTTTTCAAAAATTGAAAGAGGGGGTAAGGCTGAATCCTAATCAAATTACGATTCGATCGCTATTAATTTTATTTAGATCTGTTGCGTCTTTAAGGAGACAATGGTTGACATTCATAAACTTCCCTTTCATTTTTCGCAAGCACTCCCTTCAATAGCATTAAAATTTCAGGACAAATTGCCTGTGGTCGATGTAATGAATGAGGAGATTCAAGGTATTTTTTTGTGAATGCAACAGTTTAACTGTTATTGTACATTTTTGTAATGTTTTGTCATTCAAAATCGAAAAATTATTTGAATTATAACTTCATTCGATCATTCTTGAAGGATCTCGGAGGTTTGAGGAAGTTGTAGATGATCCTGATGATCCTAATGAAATAACTGATGGGGCAGAGGAAGCGGAACTTTACGCCATTCAGGTTGGTTTAGTACCATAGGACTAGGAGTACCAAAAAAAAAAAAAAAAATATATTGAAAAAACACTTTATACAGGAGATTTGCACAAAAAAGGTACAATTTTGCACAAGGCGCCGCTAATCACATTTTTTTTACTCACCCTGTAAAATATGTTGTATAAAATATTACATATATTCCGGAAAATCCCCCCCCCCTAAAACCCATTGACCCTTTCTCTTAAAACTTAAACGTATCCTCAAGATTTTAAACAAATGGCGGGAAAATACCAACCTGTTCAACTGCCGCAACTTTTCCAGGCTGAGTTAGCGCGGGAAAATGAAAGTCTGGTTGCGGAGATGGTTAAAGCTGACAGAGTGGCGAATAGTATAACAGATCAAATGTATTCTGAGTGTCAGGTAACAGGTTAAGAACAAGATGATTGATTAAATGTTTGGTTTGATAGGACTAATTTACTGACCGTTTGGGTGGTTGATTGACTGATTTATTGATTGATCGTCTGACAACTAACTGACGCTTGGATGATTGATTGATTGGTTGGTTGGTTGGTTGGTTGGTTGGTTGGTTGGTTGGTTGGTTGGTTGGTTGGTTGGTTGGTTGGTTGGTTGGTTGATTGATTGATTGATTGATTGATTGATTGATTGCTTTCAGGAGCTGCTTCAGTTATTTGGAATCCCCTGGATAGTTGCTCCAACAGAAGCAGAAGCACAGTGTGCTTTCCTAGGTATCTTGTCTACATGAAAAGGGACTGTTCAAGCATTTTATTAGGGGCGAGAGAAATAAATAATAATTTTTTGTAATTTTTTGATTTAGTTCTCAACAAATCTAACCAAATTCTGATAATAATTAATTAAGGATTACCCCATTTCCCACTTATTAATATTTCGCGAACACTCCTTTTAAAATATTTTGTTGTTGGTATAAATCATTTTGTTTCAGATGACACAGGGTTGACTCACGGTACTATAACAGATGATTCAGATATCTGGCTTTTCGGGGGGAAAAAGGTTTATAAAAACTTCTTCAATCAGGTAACTTATAAAATTATTAATATTATCATAGTTATCTTATATTTTCTTTAAGCAAAATTGATTTTAAATGATTTAAATGATTTTGAAGAGATAATGTTTGGGTAAAAAAAATTTAATTTTGGTTAAGTTAAAAATAAAAATTTGTTAAAAGTAATTAATTTTTGCTTCTTATGCTTCTTAACCCTTACAATAGCTGTGTTTTTAGGAAAAGCATGTGGAAATGTTTAATTATGAGGAAATCTCTCATCATTTTGGTCTGGGCAGGTATCTTTTAAAACTAGTTTAAACTGAAAAGAGAATCCATAAAACTCTAAACACAGTTTAAGGTTATATATTTTTAAGAATTATTTACATTAATAGATTCATACATGAACGCCCGGGGTAGTAGAAAATGTTATAAAGGGGGCTTTGACATCATCATGTTTCATAAATCATCGTAATGGCATAATATTAATAAAATTATCTCTTTGTTTTGTTATTAATTGAATAAAACTTGAGATTTTATTTCAGAGACAAGTTAATTCTACTGGCTATGCTGACTGGAAGTGATTACACAGAAGGTATTTTCCTCTCTCTGATTTCGCTTTCAGTTTAAATTCAATTTACCTTGTAATGGTGCGACCAGAATTTTGTGTATAGGTTTAGTTCGCTTTTTTAAACTTCCAACATTTTAAAATCTGTATTCTGGTAAAGTTTGCTTTCATTACCCCTTGCAATCAGGGGTCCATATAATTCCTTTTTCAATCCCATTTGGGATTGACAAATTTGAAAGAAATGGGGGTAAATTCTTTAATTGTGGGCAAAGGTGTTAGTGGAATTTGAAAATTTTTTTTTAATTGGGGGCATTTTTTTTAAGTTGGGGGCAAAAAATTATTTTGGGATCGAGAAAATCAGCTTTTTTGGGAATTATATGGACCCCTGCTTGCAATATGTTAATCCTGAGAGAAAAAAGGAAAATGATTTTAACATGTTACTTTTTGGTTAGTTTTTTACACATGTTTTCTCTTGGGGTAAATTTGTCATGTAAGTCGGAGTCTAAATATCCTATTGTGGGTTATTGTACCAGTACTGCAGTTAGGGGATCAGCGCTGCGGCTAGGGGAATAACGCTGCAGCTAGGTGACAAACGCTGCAGCTAGGGGAAAAACGCTGAAGCTAGGGGAAAAACGCTGCAGCTAGGGAAATAACGCTGCATCTAGGGGAATACCCTGCAGCTTGGGGAATAACGCTGCGGCTAGGGGAATAACGCTGCATCTAGGGGAATACCCTGCAGCTTGGGGAATAACGCTGCGGCTAGGGGAATAACGCTGCAGCTAGGGGAATAACGCTGCAGCTAGGTGACAAACACTGCAGCTAGGAGACAAACACTAGGATTAGGTGATCAGCCCTGTGGTTCAGCGACAACTGCTGCGGCTAGGGGACTGACACTAAACTAGGGGGGGTGGGACAAGCACTATGGTTAGGGGACAATGACAATGGTCTAAAAACTAATTTTCTTTGTGTCAGGTGTTGAGGGGGTTGGACCAGTTACTGCTTTAGAGATAATAGGTAGGTTTATCTCAATCTATTTATCACCATCTTTTAACCTATCCATCGCCTTATATTTATCTATCATCTATCTATCTATCTATTTATCTATCTATCTATCTATCTATCTATCTATCTATCTATAACTATATATTTCTCTATTTATCTACTACTATCTTTTTATCTATCCATCCATCCATCACCATATATCTATCTATTTATCGCCATATATATATCTATCTATCAACAGCTATCTAACTATATATAACCATCTATTTATCTATCTATCCATCACTATCTATTTATCTTACTGTCCATCAATCACCATATATCTAACTATCTATATCTATCTATCTATCGATCTATCTATCTGCCCAGGTGAATTCCCTGGCGAGGGCCTGGAACCTTTGCTTCAAATGAAATCCTGGTGGGATAAATTTCATTCAGATTTTGGAAAGGTAAGGCACGTAAAAAGGGAATCATAGACGTGGTCTTAAGTGACCCTACAGTTTAAGAATGAGATGTCCTGTGCACAATTACACTCTTAAAACATTAACTGAGTATCAATGCAGGGGACGTAGGTTCAATACCGTGCTTATATATGCTTGTATATGCTTATTTGAATATTGCTTTGTACACAATTTATAAAGTTGTGCCTCTATAACTCCAGGATCGTAAAGAACAATAGATTTAAACATATCACAGATCATAGAGATAATGTAATCCAACCTCGCGCTTTATAAAAACTACTCATCATTTCTGAAACAGTATTCGGAAATTATTATTATAAAGATTTATTCACACACAAAGATATAAATACATATATAAATGGTGTAGTTTAAATTTGTTTAAATAAATTTTTTGAAAATACAGGTTTCCAAAAGAAAAGAGAAAAAATATGCAAAATCAGTACAAATAGAAAACATTGATTTTTTCTCACTACATAACATATTTATCATTTCAGTTATTACGTAATCATCGAATCCTTCAACATATAAATTATTCATTCTTGTATTTAAAAGTTCTTGTAAAACTGGAAATTTCCATTCATGTTCCAATGGGACATCAAAATATTTCATTTTACTAAGATCCGAAGGATTTACAGAACAATCATTCGCAATAGAAAATAAATTTCTGCCAAGAACTGTGTTGAGGTCATTTTACATAAATTAGAAAGAAATCTAATGCAAAGCTTATAACTTGCTTCTATAGTCTCATAGAAAGACACACATCTGCTAGCTAACATAGTTTTTACATGTAAACATTGTGAAATACTTTCAATCAAGTACCTATGCGTATCTCTTTGGCTTCTTGATTTGATTTGAGTTCAATCATTATAGATTAGAAAAATGTTTAAATCAGTAGTTTTGTAAATTTGATATGCCAATCTATAAATGAAGGATCACTTAAAAGTTACAAAAAATCAAGTGAAGAATTAAAATTAGTCAAGATTTATTATAACCCTAGGAGTACGGAATGCCGGTTGGGAACCAGGTTCGGGAGAAACTTCGCAAACTCAAATTAACTCGAGGATTTCCAAGTCAGGCTGTTATGCAGGAATGTAAACAATCAATATTTATCTTACCTCGCCATTTTGTCTCTTACTAATTTATTAAATTAAAATAATTTTGCATTTGGACATAAGCTGCTATACTTCAGATCTTGTAAATGCTATTTTTAAATTGAGTGAGTGATAAAGAATTGTTTATTTTCTAAGTAGGCGTACACTGACCCTAGGGTTGATACTAGCCAAGAGAAGTTTACCTGGGCTGTTCCTAATCTAGTAGCAGTCAGAGACTTTGCTAAGGTATCTGATTTATTAATTCATTGAACAGGATCCATCGCTCGAACCTGTAGGTCTCTAACCTGTCTATCCTCACTGTGGTAATGAGATGTGAGCCTCAGAGGTAGGGAAAGTAAGACTTCCAACGAACTTTGACAGTGGCAAACGACTTAAAGGTCGTCTTTTATCTTTGAAATAATTTGCAGCATTCATTCGTCAACCTTCTTATAACCATGTATGATTCTTGAAACAATAATCCCAAAATTCAAAAATTGTCAAAATCTGAACAAAATTTTTTAGTAATATTGTAAGCATAAAAATGGCAGACCACATTTTGGAAATGCCAGGACTAGGATAATTTTGAAATTGTTAAACTCTAGAATTATATTTTTATTGATAGAGTTTAGATACCGCAAATTATTTCAAAGATTAAAGTACTGTTATGAGCTTTTTAAAATGTGGTCTGTCCAAATTGACAAACATTTCTTGACCTTATTTCTTGAAGACTTTATCATTATAAGAGAGAAGAAAAGGCAATAATTAGAAAAATTCTAAAAATGACAATAAAACCCAAAAAAGCCCACTTACAGATGTGTTTTAGTCGGTTTTTGGGTGTGTTTTTTGGGCTGCATTTTTATGCCAACCCTGAAATTTTATTTAGGAAAAGTTCATTGCTGTATTATCTAGGAAAGAGTTAATGATTTATTATCTACTAGCTGAAGGGCCCAACGTTTCCCGTGAAATTTTTTTTTTTTTTAAGGTTCGATTTTTTTTTAGCCTTTAACACTCCCCGGCCACCACTGAGTGTCCACAAAAAAGTTCAGTCCAATCGGTCCAGCTGTTTGGCCGGTTATGGGCAACATATATATATATATATATATACGAATGTCTTGTTTTATTATATAGATAGATGAAAGGTTTAATGTTGTATTATTTAGGAAAGGTTTGGTTGGACCAAGTTCCAGATTGATGAGATATTGAAGCCGGTGATCAGATCCCTGCAGAGGTCTAGCCAGGGACGGATTGATACATACTTCTCCTCATATAGGATAAATCTACCAGAGACAGGTTGGTTTTTGGAAATATTAGAAATTAGGGCGCTCCTTGCCACTGTTACAGTCCTAACCTACTACTAATCAGCAGACCTTTTCTGTTAGCAAATTTCTGAGACAACAATCAAGAGTTTATTTTATAATTATTATTTTCTGCATTTTAAATTGGTCAAAAATTAGATCTCTTTTAAAGAGAAATAGAGTATAGATTAGGATTTGAGTTGATTTAAAAGTTTACAGCTTAACCGGCCTTGTTATTGTCTTTCTGTCTCTTTCTTTATTGTTAATACCAACCTGATAACATTGTTTAGGACTTGTTTCTACAAGTCGGCGGGTTGAGGAAGCACTCAGAAAAGTAAAAGGACTTCCAAGTCCTCAAAAGACTCCACCTAAGAAGATACAACGCGTTAAAACAGTCCCCAAGTCCACAAAAGAAGCTAAGACGACCAAAAAGTCCAAGAAAGATTCTACTCCACAACCATCTTCAGCTTCTTCTTCAATAACTCCTTCTACGATATCTTCAGAACCTCCTGCTCCTACTCCTGCTTCCTCCTGTTCAAGTGCAGCCTCAAACAGCACTAGTTCCCGCTCTGCCACCTCGAATCTACCTGGAATGTAAGAATTTAAAATTTTTCCTTGAACTTATAAGAACCCGTTTTTCCTTCCTTATCTTTTTTAAAAATCTTTTTTACCATACAATTAGAAATAGAAAATAGCAGAATTCTTGTTGTCTAGTTTTTCTTTTATTCATAAAATGTCGCTAAAGATTTTTAATTGGCCACTTAACTATTATTTTACAAAATGCCCAGAACACTTTTAGAGATATATCTGTTGCAACAATTGCAAATTACACAGTCCGTAGGCGATATTTCTGCTGTAAAACGAAGAACAATGACAACACATTCAATTCAGAGTTTTCTGGTTCTTCCTGTATTTAAAAAATAAAATCATCCAACCATTGTTTTGGGGATAATGTAATTTTTTGTGAAATTAATACAAAAATATTGTGTTTATTTTTCAAAGTATTGAAAAGTATGATTCTGATGTTTGCACAAGTATTTTTAAAGTCAAATTTAAATTTTTATTTAATTCATTTATTTTCTGCGATTTCATTAAATTATGTCGACCCTAATGCATTGAAGAATGGAGAGTTAATTTTTTAGAGTATATTTAAATACAAATTAAAAACTGCAAATGAATACTTACAGGAGTGTAAGTTCCAATAAAGCAGATGAAATTATTCTTCAAAGAGAAGAGAGGAAAAGAAATGAAAGGTAAACATCGTTTTATAGATTGATTTTTGTGGATAAAGGGGGGACTCCCCCCCCACCCCCACCTATCCATAGCATTCCACTATATCCTGTAAAATCGTGGAAAAAAAATATTTTTCTCTAGATTTTCGATACATAAACTTTTTGATAATTTTACTAAAATAAAAATGGAAATTTTGATCAATAAGATTAAGATCAATGTATTTATTATTAAATTTTAAATTTTTAACAATATTCTTTAAATAGTTTTTATAATAGTTAATTCTTTAAATAATTAAAATAGCAGATGTAAATATTTTACCATTTCTATAGTTCTTGTTCTTCATTTTCTTCTTGTTCATACATCTTTCAATCATATTTCGGCTAAGTTTGAAGAATAAAATTTGGGACATCCTTGCAGTTTTGCCAAGCTGCTTTAGAACCAGGTTAAGATGCCTCCTTTCCTATTTTTTTAAAGTACACTCATTAGATGTATCAGCAACTAAATTAGAACTAATTCAGCTACAAACAAACACATTCAAATTTCTGGTGTATTTTTTATCAGGGTGAAATGGAGGGGGGAGGGGACGTCTCTCAGCCCTATCGTCAATGTTGTTTTCATTCACTAATGGAATAAATTGATAGTGTAAAGCTTATCATTGGAGAGTTACCTTTCCATTTTTCCTGTTAAATTTTCTTTTTTCTTCATGTTTCTTGTTTCTACATTTTGAGGCCTTTCCAAATAGTTCTTGTGGCATCAAGTTGTGGAGCAGATAGGAAAGAGATAAGGAAGCTTCAAGGAGGGTATGAGGGATTTCAGAAAAAGATCCCTGCTTTCCTTTGTTAGTCTTTCCGACTTAAGTGGAATTAAGGAAACCCATAACAGCACCACTTGTGCAAAATGGGGAGTTGAAAGCCTTAGAGCCCCACCAGGTAGAATCTTCCACAGAAGTCCAGTCCTTACTGCAGGCTGAGTAAAAAGCCGTTATCATTGTGCATGGCTTGTATACCAATTAAGGGTTATACTTCTGTGTTCCTTTATCAGCTGAGATGTTGATAAGTTGATAAGCTGAAGATGGAGTTCTTGTTTGCTGTTTAATTTCTATGTTTCACTACTCCCCTGTAGGATAAGTCATGAGCAACTCTATGCAGCACTCTTACAAGCTGTTGAGCCGTGAGCTACTACGGGGAGAGGTCTGTAACCCTCCAAGAGCAGAAAGCAACTGAAATTAAAAACAATAATAAAAATAATAATAATAATATTAAAAACAACAATATAAAAGTCATCAATATCAAAAATAACAATATCATCAAAAGAACTTTAACATAAAATAAACAAGTCATCAAAAATAACAATATCGTCAAAAATATCAATTATTTCAAAAATATTAATCACATCAAAAATAATAACATCATCAAAAATAACAACATCATTAAAAATAACAACATCATCAAAATAATAATATCTCTCTGAAAGCAATGTTATTTAGTGAGGCACGAGCTAGAGCTGCGGAAATATTTAAGAAATCAAAAGAAGCAAAGGTAAATGCTATTTTCGCCCCGGGAACCTTTAATTTGAAATTATTTAAATTAAATAACAACATAGTATCTTAGGTAGACCAATTTTGACCAAATTCCTTCTTCGACTTTTTATTTGGAATGATGATTGAATGATGGTTGGTTTGTTAATTTGTTTTTCGTGATGTATCTGCTACTGTTAAGATTTTGATGGTAGCAGGTTTACAAGTTTATATATTGGGCTCTATTAATATTATTTTAACTTACAGTGGGGCCCATCAAACTGTAGAATAGAAAGACGACTTTTAATCTCAAGTTAGGCTTTTAAATAATCCAACTAAGTTGAAACACCGCAATTGTGCAGTTACCACAGAACCATTATAGTTTATTATAGAGCTACCAGTAATTCAGCTTTATTACGACATCTAATACACATAAGATTTCTCATTCCACAGTTTTATTGGTTTCACTTTATTATGAAAACTTTGTTATTGTTTAATTGTTTGAAGGAGAGAAAGCTGCAGAAAAGATTTAAACGACCGGCCCGGAAAGAGTTGAAAGAACACCAACTATCAAGTGACGAAGATTAGAGCCAGGTTTAAAAGGGCCTGTGGACTTAATTTCATGTGTACCTAAGTCATAATGCCATATCCGATTCACAACGGTACTCATTAAAACTTTGATTTAAAGTAAATAAGAGATTCTGGGTTTTTAGAATAAATTTTTCACGCTAGTAAAATGACAATATCTTCCACATTACTGATTAAATACTGGTTAAAGAGTATCGTTAAAAATCTGCTATGGCCTTTTTTTTTAAATGTAGGGTCACTTGAAATAACAAATTCCCATCCAAAATAAATAGATTTTTTGGAGAAAAGAATAAAATAAATAAAAACCTTTTTAATTAATCATAATTTGTGTTTTTATGTAAATGTAATTGCTCATGAGTTATAAAATCTCAATCCTCTGTGATGCACAAATATTAATATATTTATGTAGATAATTTTAAGTAAAGAAATGATAATTTTTTTTCAGATAAAATGCCGAAGGGTCGAAGCAAAGGATTTGGGCACTATATGTGCAAAAAGTTTTTCCATCCGGGGAACCCGGAAAATTTGGGTAAGTTTCTTAATATAGTGCATTGGATCCATTGACCCGGGTCCGGATCAACTAGACCAAAAAAATCTCACATCACAATAAAAATGAAATAATAAATTAAGAACACGTAAAAATGCAAAACACTATATTAATGGCCATATAAGCAAATTAAATCGGAAAGTACAATTTTACAACAATTTTTGTTTTTTATTCTAAAATCTTGTTTTTAGGAAAGTTTTGTCCAAGATTTAAATTATTATGCACATTTGATAATTTTTACTGACTATAAAAGGAACTATAAACCGAATCTTAAATGACTCCATTTAAAGACGACTTGTCCTATCCCTAATTATACACCTTAAACCCTCAATCTGTTAAAAAATATATAGTGATAGTTTAGCGATATAGCCGTTGTAATGTCTTGAAACTTGTCAAAAGTCAATTTAATAGAGAAGCACCAAATGCAAATAATCAATTTCTAGATAGAAAGATAAAGATATCTTGTTCATTCTTGTTTCCAGCTGAAGCTCTCTTTATGTATATTCAACCCAACTTTTCTAGAACTGCTGAAATAAAAAATTCATTATACTTCAAACTATATTTATGGCAAAATTTTGAAACTAGAATAGTATATTTGAATTTCTTAATGGGTTAGTACCGTGATGGACTAACCCAGGTGGCTCATGGTGTGTATTTGGGTGGTGCCTCAAATCATTGGTCTGTTCTCCGACATGTTGGAAACTAAATGTTCACACTGGTTTTGTGTGGTGACTCAAACCATTGGCCTGTTCTCCGAAATGTTAAATGGTCACACTGAATTTCGGTGGTTACTCAAACCGTTGGCCTGTTCTGGTCACACTGGATTTGAGTGGTCACTCAAACCATTGGTCTGTTTTCCGACATGTTGGAAACTAAATGTTCACACTGGATTTATGTCATAAACCAATACTGACACATTATTTTCTGAAGTGTATCACGTTTATTCTAGCTGGAGATTCCGACCTTATTTCTACAGAAAGACAGTTGGGGTAGTTTATTCTATTATTATATTTTCTAGAACGTGTATTTGTGGCTCGAGAGAAGGCCAAGGCCAAGGATAAACTTGAGAAGGATAAAATACAGGAATATGAGAGGGAACAGGAGACATGGAATAACAAGGCTGCAGTTACAAATACAAGGTATAGGCGCAATTACAGGTTTAGAGAGGGGGGGGGGATAAAATGCAAGAATATCGGCGCTACGACTCTTTTCCTATACAGCAATTTTCTGTGGGAAAAACATCCCGCTTCAAATTATTTAGAGTTTTGTTAGGTCTTCTAGTTCGCCGCAGGCTACAAGAGGGGCCAAGCGCTGCTGCTAGGCCTGGCTATGGAAGATTTTCAAAGTTGAGCAAAATCATAGGATAATGGCGCATAGCAAAATTTACGCTCGCAAAAATGCCACTAGCTTAGTGCGTAGGTTTTTTCTTTGTGTTTCTAGAGCCTCCATTTTGAATTTCTTTGTTTCAGGGACCGAGACAAGCTGGCGCTTAGTTTTATGTACGAACCCCCGGCTGGGATGAAGAAAGAGGATAAACCGGATACGGAGAAGAAGGACGGTAATAAGGTTTTTTTTAAAGGGATTGTTCAGCGTTCTTTTTAAATAGAGTGTTAACGATTTAAAAGGGGTATTTTAGAATTTTAGATTTCATCCTCTACAGTATAGAGAATAATTTGAATGTGTGAAAGGGAGTAATACATGTCAAAGGAAGTAATAAAGAGTTAAAGGGAGTAACAACGAGTTAAACGGAGTACTAATGAGTTAAAGGGAGTAATAATGAGTTAAAGGGAGTAATAATGAGTTAAACGGAGTAATAATGAGTTAAGGGGAGTAATAATGATTTAAAGGGAGAAATAACGTGTTAAAGGGAGTAATAATGATTTAAAGGGAGAAATAACGTGTTAAAGGCAGAAATAACAAAATGAAGGGAGAAATAACGAGTTAATGGGAGAAATAGCGATTTAAAGGGAGTAATAATGAGTTAAAGGGAGAAATAACGTGATAAAGGGAGAAATAACAAATTGAAGGGAGAAATAACGAGTCAAAGGGAGAAATAACGAGTTAAAGGGAGAAATAACGAGTTAATGGGAGAAATAACGAGTTAATGGGAGAAATAACGATTTAAAGGGAGTAATAATGAGTTAAAGGGAGAAAAACCGAGATAATGGGAGTACTAATGAATTGAAGGGAACATTTACGCGTTAATGGGAGAAATAACGATTTAAAGGGAGTAATAATGAGTTAAAGGGAGAAATAACGAGTTAATGGGAGAAATAGCGAGTTAAAGGGAATAATAACGAGGTAAAGGGAGAAATAACGAGTTAAGGGAGTACTAACGAGTTAATGGGAGTACTAACGAGTTAATGGGAGTACTAATGAGTTAATGGAAAACAAACGATTTAATGGGAGTACTAATAGCTTAATGGGAGAACTAATGAGTAAAAGGGAGAAATAACGAGTTAATGGAAGTAGTATTGAGTTAATGAAGTACTAATGCTTTAAAAGAAAACTAACGAATTAACAGTTGTAATGACAAGTTTAGAAATATAGAGTTAAAAGATCGTTAAATTTATTATTTTCCGAATCAAAGAGATTTTTAAAACTTTTAGAATTCAAAGAGTCATATTTTATCGGGATTTTCAACAGAATTCAAAAAGCGGTTGCTAATGTTAACGAATTAAAAAAGGGTTTTTAACGAATATAAATGGATTTTTAAGAGTGGTTTGTATGGTCAGTGGTCACCGAATTAAAGTAATTGTATGGAATGATTTATTTAAAAATGTAAAACCTATTTTAGAATTTAAGTTTGATTGGCAGAGGAATGCTCCCCGTCAGTCCTACGCTAAAGAAGATCCAAATATCGTCGATCATCCCTTTGGTAAAAGATTCTTTAATATTTAGATAATTGTTTTAGGTATAAGTGTACAGTTCACCAAATGTATAAGATGTCAAGTATGGGGGCATTCACATACAGAGAAACACTGCCCTAAGTATTCATTTATTTCATTCATTTATTTATTTATTTATGTATTCATTCTTTATTTACTCGTTCATTTATTCATGTTTTCATTCATCCTTTCATTCATTTATTCATTTATTCATTCATTCTTATATTTGTTTGTTCATTCATTCAGTCATCCATCCTTTTGTTCCTTTTTTAGATTTATTATGATGTCATGATAAATTACATAATCAATCACATTTTTATTTATTAACTATTTAATTTATTTGTATGCTTTATTTATTTATTATTAAATCTAAAGGGTTTGTAGGCGTAATTTTAAGTGCCCCTACATTCGTCGAGTGGATAGTGGAAAGCTTAGTCTGATCCAGAATGAATTATATATTCATGTTTATAATTGGAAAAGAGATTTGCACATTCCTACTGAAGGAAAACCATGAATGAAAACCCTTAAGCTAAAGAAGACGACGTTATCTTCCACAATATTTATCAGATAAATGTGTAAAGGGTACCGTTGTGAATCAGACATGCCTCGATCTGGAAATAAAGGATTACTTGAAATTACAATTCGACAGTTCCTTTAATAAATATCCTGCTATTCTTCAATAATAGTTCTGGTTCATTCATGTTTTCTTTTAGTAAAAAAAAATATATTTTATTTAATAATGATTAAAATGTAAACTTTATTCTGTTAATCTTTCATTTGTAGACTTGATCAGCATTACTATAAAATAATTATGTGAGGGAGCTCAAGCCTTAGGAATAAGGGTGGACTGCGGTTATTATTATTATCTAATGCAAAAGAATTTTAAATTGATTTAGAAATATTGACAATGATTAGTTTTGGTCTTTTATTGTGGTCACTGGTCATCAAAATATGTTCAGAATAGAAAGATGAATTGAACTGAATCTTACTTACAGTTATTGCTATTTTTAAGTTTACATTTAAGAAATTATTTATTTATATTTAAAGTACCCAATCCGTCGAACCCTCGAGTACCCAACCTGTCGAACCCTCGAGTACCCAACCTGTCGAACCCTCGAGTACCCAACCCGTCGAAACCTTGAGTACCCAATCCGTCGAACCCTCTAGTACCCAACCCGTCGAACCCTAGATTACCCAACCCGTCGAAACCTTGAGTACCCAACCCGTCGAACCCTAGAGTACCCAACCCGTCGAAACCTTGAGTACCCAACCCGTCGAACCCTCGAGTACCCAACCTGTCGAACCCTCGAGTACCCAACCTGTCGAACCCTCGAGTACCCAACCCGTCGAACCCTCGAGTACCCAACCTGTCGAACCCTCGAGTACCCAACCTGTCGAACCCTCGAGTACCCAACCCGTCGAACCCTCGAGTACCCAATCCGTCGAACCCTCGAGTACCCAACCCGTCGAACCCTAGAGTACCCAACCTGTCGAACCCTCGAGTACCCAACCTGTCGAACCCTCGAGTAAAATGGGATGTGCTAAGATTAGTTATCGGTACTTTGTATAACGATTATTTGCCCTGAGTCATAGATATTCTGTTATTTTAACTATCGTCGTTGTATTTCATTATATTTTGTTGACCACTGACCATCTGAATGTCCCCAAGGTATGGGAAGGCCCGGGATGAAGAGGAACCAGCGGTTGTTATCAACGAGAAGAAACTTATCCAGGAAATGAAACAAAAGGTCAGCAAAAATGTTTTAAAATTTCTTTTAATTTAGGGAAATAAATGAAATTTTACACCATACTTTTAAGGGCGGCCAGCTCGCTCTCTCAAAGTCTTTAAAAAATATCCCATTTTTTCGTAATGTTGAAAATTTATGCACGTTTTGAATAGGTTTTTTGTATTTTTGTTTATGGTAATTTGAAATTATTAATAAGTAATTTTCTTTTAGATATTGATTTAGGAAATAAACAACATGCACGAGGAAAATAAATTGTAAATTTTTTCATTAATTTTTTCTCGGGAAACTTTAGGATTGCCATTTTAGGTAATTTAAATCTGAGAATTGGTATTAGATATAGAACTAGAAATAAATCCTTGAAACATAAAAGTTTAATGCAAAGTGTGGAGGTTTTTGTCACTGACTTGAGATGTGCAGTTTGCACGAGGATGTCCAAAGCCCTAAAATTCAAGAAAAAATTCTGCAGCCGTACATTTTCCGGAATGTATAAATTAAACAACATTTTGTATTTTAGGATCGTCTTCAATTTACAAGTTACGGAACTTGGGATAACGGGAAGGTGATTATTATTTTTATTCTTTTTTAAGCGAGAATGTTAAAGTTTATTTTTATTCCTATTTTAAGAGTTTTATGCCCGGTTCACCACAACACACTTTAAAATCCTTTTTTTCCGAGCATAAGTTGTGGAGATATTCATGTTTTTCTATTTGGGAATTGGTCATTTTCAAAAGTGGTTTCCCATTGATCAATCATATTCAAAATATTGTCTATTTGGATGTGAACAAGCGTGATATAGTTTATTTAATCAGTCAATCAATCAAATAGTAAATATGATCTAGCTGGGTGGGAAACCGTAGGATGGTCTAATCAATCAATCAATCGCTAAATATTATCTAGCTGGGTGGGAAACAGTATGATCTAGTCTACTCCTCTCCATCTGAAGATGAAGGCGGAGGAGATCTCATGTCGGGACTACTCAAGGTATTCATCCATTTATTAGTTTGTTGATTTATTCATTTTTCATTGATTTATTTATTCATTCATTCATTTATTCATCTTTTCATCCTTCCTTGTATTAGTTTATTAATTCATCTGCCATTCATTTATTTATTCATCCATTTATTAGTTTATTCGTTTCTTTATTCATTCATTAGTTTATTCATCCTTTCATCCTTCCTTGTATTAGGTTATTTATTCATCTACCATCCAATTCATTTATTCATCCTTTCATCCTTCCTTGTATTAGTTTATTTATTCATCTACCATCCATTAATTTAATCATCTACCATCCATTCATTTATTCATCCATTCATTAGTTTATTCATTTCTTTATTCATTCATGAGTTTATTCATCCCTTCATCCTTCCTTGTATTAGTTTATTTATTCATCTACCATCCATTCATTTGTTCATTCATTCATTAGTTTATTCATTTCTTAATTCATTCATTAGTTTAATCATCCTTTCATCCTTCCTTTTTCAAGTTTATTTATATTTACTATTCATTCATTCATCCATTCATTAGTTTATTCATTCCTTCATTCATCCTTTAGTTTATTATAATCCTTTTATTAGTTTATTCATTCATTCGGTAATTGATTCATCCTTGTATAAGTTTGTTCATTCATTTATTCTTTCATTAGTTTATTAATTTTTTCATCCTTTCGCAATTTTTTTCATTTATCCATTCATTAGTTTATTCATCCTTTCATTCATTTATTAGTTTATTCATTTTTCATTCATTTATTAGTTTATCCATTCATAAATCCTTTATTTAGTGTATCTATTCATTCATTTATCCTTCCATTTCTTCATTAATTTATTCATTCATTCATTCGATCATCTCTCATTTGTTTATTCATTCATTCATTCATGCATTCATTTATTTATTAATTTGAATAAATTAATATTTGTCCATTCAAATATAGATAAATTAATATTTGTATTCATATGTTCAAATTTATTTTTATTTGTTACATTTAATCATCAAAATAGGATATGCCATTTCATAATCAAGTTGTCATCTTTTTTTAGTTGTCATCTTGTCTTGTAAATTTACATGATTTAATGTTAAAATATTTTTTTTAAAAGAATCCGAGGAAAAGAGAAGAAAATAAAGATATTGAGATCTAAAGTGAAAAAAGAATCTGAACGAAATCGAAGAAAACATCACAAAAAATTCGCAAAATCCGAAAAGACTTCAACACGTGATAAATCCACGAAACGTGACGTATCCAGGGGAAAAGGTTCCAGACGGAAATATGAAAGATCGTCTTCTCCCAAGGAGAGCAAACAAGAGACTGCCAAAATATCGGACAAATCACGGTAAAGCAACGATTTGAAATGTGCTTTCTAACTGTTATTATAAGTCTTAAGGAACATGTTTATTCTTGCTTCAACATAAATTATAATTTCCCTTCTTAATGTTTTTCGTTCATTGCAGGATTCCACAAAGACGACTTAAAACTCTTCAAATATGACGAGCCCTTTTGTCTTGAATGTGGTCTTCAAAAGTTTAAATAGCTTATTTAATGAGATGGCAAGGAAAGAAAAAAGTTTATAGTTGCAAGGAATCATAAATACTAGAAAATAGACAGTATAAATTCCGCACAGTCATCTCTAAAGTCTAATACTCAGTGTGTAATCCTTTATTTTAACTCATTAAAATATTGAATTATTTTTTAGATTAGCGTACCTGAATAAAATTGATGATATTCTATTTTCTGATATTGGTCCTCCCCCACCTCGTAAGGTGGGTGTTTTACTCAAAGTTTTTTCCTTATTCTTGTTATTGTTATTGTTATTGTTATTGTTACTGTTACTGTTATTGTTATTGTTATTGTTATTGTTATTGTTATTGTTATTGTTATTGTTATTGTTATTGTTATTGTTATTGTTGTGTTTGTTGTTGTTGTTGTTGTTGTTGTTGTTGTTGTTGTTGTTGTTGTTGTTGTTGTTATCTAATACAGATGATAAAATTATTATTACTATTTTCATTTTTAACCTAAAGATAATAAACAGAAATTTATCTCGTGCAAAGCATTTTCGAAATAATATTTAATAAATTTGTTCATTTAAAAAAGGATTATATGGCATAATTTTTTTTTAATGATTTATTTTCAATTTATAGCAATACAAATTTGGATTTTGTATTTTCCATGATTTGCATAAAAACATGAATTTTGGATTTGGTATTTTATTTTATCCTTCACAATATATTTTTAATTCCGTCTTCTAGGAGTCCGAACTTAATAAATCAGGAGAAAGCTTTCTGAGTGAAGTTGACAAGATACTCGGGCTGACAGGTTTATTTTAGATTTAGTTCAACTTAGTTAGCTTTGATTTGGTGACCACTCTTTTTTGCTTTATCGTCATAATTTTCCCAGATTTTTAAAAAAATTACAGAGAAATTTTCAAACGCTATATGTACTTTATGGCACATAGCTTTTTTATTTTTACACCGTTTTTAAAAACAACTGAAGGACAATTAAATAAACTAAACATGATTCCGAAAAAAATGTCTACATATCTACAAATTTTGTTAAATACTCATCAAAGGTTTTTTACAAAATGAACACTTATTATTTTTTAAATGGCGCGCAAATTCTTAAATGACGTTTTCACTAGATGAGGGAGAATCATCAGAATCTAGGGATAGTGATGATAATGATGATGATGATGATGATGATGATGATGATGATAATGATAATAATGATGATGATGATGATGAAGATGAATCTGAAGAAGAAGAAGAAGAGTCGGAGTCAGAAGAGGAAAAAGAAGAAGAAGAAGAAGAACAGGAAGAGGAGGCCCTTACGGAGACTGAAATGCGTCTTTTTAATCTGATTAGTATTAACAAGGAAGTTAAAAAGTTTTGTCAATTTTTTAAGATCGCTAATTTAATTCATAGGGTGTCCTACCAAAAAATGACAGGTGATGGCGAAGTCTTTGATCTTTGAAATAATGTACATTGTTTCATTCTTTAACTTACTACATGTCTGATTTTTGAAACAACACTATTCTCCTAGTCCTGGCATTTCCAAAATGAGGTCTGCCTTTTTGTGCTTCAAAATTACCAAAGATAATCAAAATTTCGTTCAGGTTTTCAATTACAAAAAAAAAGTTGTCTAAACCTGAACAAAATTCTTTACCCCGTAATTTTGAAAGTACAATAATGGCAGACCACATTTAGCAAACGCCAGGCTTCTGAGGGTTAGTTTCTAATTCTTATTAATTCAAGAATTTTACCTTCGGTTGTCAAATTAATTTTGCATTATATTTCCTTCCTTTTTCTTTTTTATCATTTAGGACCACAAAAAATAGAGTAAACACAAAAAATATAGAAATAACTTTTATCTTGTGAACACAGATTGATGTGAAGAAAAACTTCGAGGATAAATATCCTGATACTAATTGTCATTTCTGCAGGTACAACCATTCATTCATTCTACGTTCATTTATTACTAATTTTCTCAATTCATTAATTCATTCATCTATTTATTTACTCATACTTTTATTCATTTATTAAATCATTTATCCATTCATTTATTTATTTATTTATTCATTCATTCATTCATGCATTCATCCTTGCATTTATTTTCCTTTCATCCTTTCATATATTCATTTATTCTTTTATGCATCCTTTCATAATCTTACTCGTTCTTACATTCATTCATTCATTCATTTATTTATTCAAATTTTTTCCCTTTTTTGTAGAGTAGAAGAAAATACTGAACACCTGGCTGTGTGTCCTGTGTATGATGATATTATGAAAGGGAGAGAGTTTCAGGATATTAAGTCTCAGGTTACCTATTTACAAAACTACGCAATTTAAGCGTAAAATTTACTGAAAAACATAAATCTTAGATTAGATTTTTTTTTTTACTTTCCTCTATTTGCTTCAAAATATTTATATTATGTTAGTTCAGAGAGTTTTTTCCAGATTTTTAATTTGTTTACTGTGATGTCAAAAGAAATTGGTTTATATTAACAATCCTAGATAAATTTTCTATCTCTTTGATCATTATTCTCACTCTGAAATCTGGGCATCACTTTGTTTTAAGTTAAAAAGTCATTTATTTAAAAGACATACTAAGTTAAAGTTTATTGAACTATTAAAAACTAGTTATAATGTTATTATCATAATTAATATTATATTATATTATCAGAATTTAGCAAAGGTCAAAACTGCTTTAAAGCACATAAGGAAAGCTCTGTTAAAACGTGCAAAGGTAAAAAATTTCTTTTTTTTTAATTTACAGATTTTTTTTATGTTGTAATATTTTAGGCTCTATCAGTTACGAGTGTAGGATCAATTTCTGCTGAAAACATGGCACTGTTAGGTACATTTTTATTTAATTTTTTTATTCTGAAAATATATTTTTTTTCAAACACACTTTTTTACACATTAATGGTGAATTGTAAACAATTTATTATGAAGTGAAATGTCTTCCAAGTATAAAAGATAAATTGCATGTTCTTAAAATTTGTGAATTTTGTATTTCTGATAGTATTTATATCATGAAGTAAGTGCTAAACAGTAACTATTGCTCGAAAGTTACACTTAATATGACCTTTGGTTTATTGTTGGCGATAGGAACTTTTTCCCCTGAACTGTTTTGAAATGTTTGCCCCTGACTATTTGGTACATATACCACTGAACTATTTGGAACATATTCCCCCTGAACTATTTTTAACTTTTTCCCCTGAACTGTTTTGAACGGTTTGCCCCTGACTATTTGGTACATATACCACTGAACTAATTAGAACATATTCCCCCTGAACTATTTTGAACTATTTCCTCTGAACTGTTTGCCCCTGACTAATTGGTACATATACCACTGAACTAATTAGAACATATTCCCCCTGAACTATTTTGAACTATTTCCTCTGAACTGTTTTGAACTGTTTGCCCCTGACTAATTGGTACATATACCACTGAACTAATTAGAACATATTCCCCCTGAACTATTTTGAACTATTTCCCCTGAACAGTTTTGAACTGTTTGCCCCTGACTATTTGGTACATAATATACCACTGAACTAATTAGAACATATTCCCCCTGAACTATTTTGAACTATTTCCCCTGAACTGTTTTGAATGGTTTGCCCTTGCCTATTTGGTAAATATACCACTGAACTAATTAGAACATATTCCCCCTGAACTATTTTGAACTTTTCCCCCTGAACTGTGACTGATTTATCTATTTTTAGATTTATCTGTGAAACCAGTGTTAGATGAACGCTGTAAACGTGCGCTAGAAATATTAAACTCTCAACCCTTCAACATTGTTTAGTCACAAAATCCTGTATCCTGTATAGGCACAAGTGTGATTTATGTTATAGTTTCAAAGAAAATTGGTTTCCTGATGGTAATGTTACATCGTCTATACGCAACATCCTACTGCAATATCGGACCTACGCCGGCTGTTTATTTTTGTGTTATTTGAGGGCTAGGTTTCTGGGCCGAGCGCCGCGACTAGGACAGGCAAGGGGGCCGGGAGCTGCGGTCACAGGTCTATATAGCAGAGCTTGTAAAACCTCTTGCTAGCAGGTCGGATGTGTAGTATAGCGGATTTCGCGTTGGTAAGAAGTGGAGTATAGCGGATTTGCGTAAGTCGAAAAATACACCACTTTCCTGATCTGCAGTTTTACCCCCTGGTAAAATCAGATGTTAACGGTAAAAATCAGATGTTAACGGTAAAATCAGATGTTAACGGTAAAATCAGATGTTAACGGTAAAATCTCCCAATTTTAAAGTACTCACCACTCTGTCCATGCGCAGATTACTCAATATTTCGACAAAATGGTTTTCATGGAGAAAGTTTTTTTATCCTGAATCAATGTCTCCGTCATAAATCAACATATTCGTCTAATCGACGGAAAGATTTGTTGCTGGAAATAAAGGTAATAGAACAATTGTCGTTATTTAATTGGATAATTTTTAATTTTTTTAGATAATTTTTTAGATGATACTTTGTATTCGTTGTGTTTAAGGATTTAATGCAAGGAAAGTTATTTCAGAGGTGTACGCATCTTGTGTACTGCAGTGTACTGCCACTGGGCGGTAATGTAAACACAAGACGGATGTCGAAACCTGACATGGGATCAATCTTTCACATAAATAATCAATGAAATATTCTGGTCATATAGGAAAGTATTATGTGAATTATCAAAATTATCAAAATTTAATGCTTTTAACCTCCTCGGATACTAAACGAACACTGATGCATCTATTCTTGTTCCGCCCAAAGAGAACTGGTTTCAATATGTACGCAGAGTATACGCAACTGCAATTAACTTTCCTTGCATTACATTCTTGATCTAATCTATGCTTTTAAGGTTTTTTAAAAATTTTACTTCATATTCATTATTCAAGCAAAAAAACTAAAACTTAGTTTTTAGTCAAGGCTTAACCAATAGATGCGTTAAAGAACCTGTAAAATCTTTCCTTGGGATGTTTAGAAAAATAAAAATTTCCCTGTTTGATAATTGAAGGACTGCAGTATGGTTTTAGGGAATCATATTGGCGTACTAAGCCTAATCTAATCTATGTTTTTTAAAAATTTTACTTCATTATTCATTATTCAAGAAAAAAAACTAAAACTTTGTTTTTAGTCAAGGCTTAACGAATAGATGCGTTAAATTTGGTAAATTGATTTAAAAATAAACACTTGAATTGTGATTTGTAAATTTTTAAAATTATTTGTTTTAATTTATTCATTTAGGGGGATCTTATTTATGGAGTGCACCCAGTCTACCTAGCGCTGCGGGCAGAGAAAAGAACATTTAACAAGGAAAAAAGCATTTTTAAGAGATTTTTTAAACATAAAATATTATTAATTTTAATGTTTAAAAAAAACATAAAATAAATATACGGAACCTGGACGTAATAAGAGTTAATTTGTATTAATCCCTTGACAATTTTTAAATGCTTTTCTTAAGTAGATTTTTTACAACAGGTAAGGCATACGAAATAGATTAATTTAATTATTTTAAAACACTCTTACACATTATTTTTAGGGGCAGTTCAAAGGCCGTTGAATTGGCTGAAATGGCCGAGAAGAGGAATATTCCGGCTGTACAACTTTCAAGGTGGGCATAAATGCCACAATTTTTAAAATCCGGGTAAACGCCGCAATTCAGATTTTTTATTCAGAGATAATCTTGACGAACTGACAAGAAAGGTTTCAAGGTACAAGGATCATCATGTACATCAAGGTAGTGTTTATGTACAGTGCAGTGAGCAGAATACAGTTTACACGAAACCTATCAAATTGAAAAACTGATTATTTCCTCGTTAATATGCGATTTTCTTGATAAATTGATTGATCAATAAGTGAATGCTTCGTTTATTTTTTATTAATTAGCTCATTGCTCGGCTAGTTTACTTTTGTATGAAAACAATACTTTTTTCTGTTAATTGATCTGTAATAGTTGATTTATTTAATTGATTTATATTAATTAATTTGTATGTTCTATTGTCTATAATGTCTATTATGTCTATTGTCTATCGTCTATTATGTCTATAATGTCTATCATGTTTATTATGTATATTGTCTATTGACTTTTATGTCTATTGTCTATTTTTGTCTATTATGACTATTATCTATTTTCTATTATGTCTATTGTCTATTATGCATATTGTCTATTACGTCTATTGTCTATTATGCATATTGTCTATTATGTCTATTGTCTATTATGTCTATTGTCTATTATGTCTATTGTCTACTATGTCTATTGTCTATTATGTCTATTGTCTATTATGTCTATTGTCTATTATGTCTATTGTCTATTATGTCTATTGTCTATTATGTCTATCTTGATTCTATCTTTTTCTTAATATCGAGACTAACCTAATCTTGTACTTGTATCCTGAAAAGTGTATAAAATTTAACCAATCAGAGCTGAGTCGCGTTTCAGAAGCCAGGAAATTTGAAACTTTGCGCGACATTTAAGATTACTATACAGGGGGACTCTGTAATTTTGAAAAAACCGGTTTTTTATTTTCTGTACTATATCCAAAAAAGAGTAGATTAAGCAAGAAATTAAATGTGTCTACATTGGATATTCGGATTAAGCAGTCGGGATCAAAGGTATCCAATTCTAAACTTCCCAGCTCAGGAAGCTTTATTCTGTGTTTCTCGGATTAACCACTCAAATTCTTCAAATGAAAAGTTTCCAATGTGAATATTGAATTCAAAAGATCCGACCCCAAAATCATGTTAATTACTTAACTTATACTTATCCTTTTATGTTCAACAGCTATTCTTTTTCCAAACATCTGTCTGTAGCCAGTTGGATGGTAATAATTATTATAAAAATTAAATTTACTTTAATGACTTATTTTTGGCATATTTTATTATTCTTACTTTACTTAATTTTACTTCGGTCTCTGCTGCTTAAATTTGCAAGTCGCTTTAACAAAGAACCACAATTGAAAGCCATCAATTTTCAGATAGACAAAAATAACTCGGTAATTTTTTGCTGAGACAAAGAATTAAGTTGCACTGTTGTGAGTGGGGCAGGAAACATTTCCTTTAAAGGGAGTGTTTTATGATCTGATAGTTACCTTTGGAAACATTTATTCCTGTTGCGAGGATTTTTATTATAAAGACGACATTTTCATGTTTTCCACGAATGTTTGAAAATCTAGCGCCAACGAATTATTATTGAAAAAAATCAAAATATTATTAAATATTAACTATATACGAATGAGTCGAAAAATAATCGTTTCTGAATCTGTATGAATGCTACGTTCTTTAGCATGAGTCGTTTTTAACAATTTTCTCCTGATAGTCGCAACAGATAGAAGTAAGATTAGTAGTTATCAAAAGCGCTTATTTTTCGCCGTAAGTCTGTACCCCCTTTCATTTTTCGCGAACACTCCCTTTAAGCAAATATGTGGAGAGTCCCTTTCTGAATTACTTATTTGTTTCAGAACTTAAATTTGAATATTCTCAGATAGAAGATGATAAACTAATACTCTTATTATACGGTATTAAGGTACTTTTTCATTTTAAATACTCCGAATTGTTATCTTCTGGCCCAAATTTTTATTGTTAATTCTGTTTTAAAATCATTTTTTTTAAAATCGAGTTTACATTTTGTATTCTTTCCAACCCCAAAAGCCCAAAACTTAAGACAGGGTATCGTTATGAAAACCAGTTTTGGAGTCCGGGTTTCACGAGGGGGTCAATGTCCGATTATCAATGGTTCCCTTGAAACAATTATCTGTGGAATACTTTGTAAGTGTTTCTTTTTGGTAATTCATATTTATGTTTTTCTGCAGTAGAAACACACAAGTCAATTTTGTAGAATACCCACAATTGAAAATAATCAGTTTTAACATTTTTGATCATTCAAAGCTTTTATAGTTGTGAATCGGGCATTGCCATCTTTTCATTGAGGGTCACTTGAAACTACGCGTACAGTCCCTTTAAAACGAAAAAGAAGAAGCTCTCACTTACTTCCATATTAGATAAGGATAGAATTAAATATTTATTGAAAATTTTATGAAAATTTTTGGGAAAATTTTTTTAAGTTAATAAAGTTAGAAGTTACTTTCTGTTTAAAAAAATTTAGGGGAAAAAATTATTATTAAAGTTATTGCAACAAATAAAATACTATTTTTATTAATTTTTCTGTTACTTATGATTAAAAATGATTTCCCCTTGTTTAAGATATGAAGTGTAAAGACATAACATAAACAAAAAACATGAACATGTGACATAAATCTTGAATATATTATTTATGCTGTTCAGTTGCTGGGGATAGAACTGATCTTACAGCTGTTGTTAGTAAGGTACATACAGTCCATACAGTACATACAGTACATACAGTATATAATATACTGATAGGGTACTTTCCTTAACAATAACAGCTAATATTTAAAAATAAAGAAAAACAATTATTTAGAATTAAAAATTCCAGGGAAGGGTCTTGACCTCAAAAATATTTAAAAATTTCAAATAAACAAAATGTTATTAAAATAAACGGGGATTTTTACTTTTGCTCGATATGTTTCCGTTAATTTTTCAAGATTTACATAAAGCTGTTAAAGGTTCACTACTATTTTTTTATATTTATGTGCTCAGAGCTGAAAACTTGGGAATTTGGATATTGAGCTATTGAGCTCTTTTTATTATTCTCAAGAGTAGGTTAATCTCTAGTTTGTATCCTGATAAGTGTGTAAATTCAACCAATAGAGTGGCGTATGTCAAATCCAGAACAACCAATCACAAGCTGGGAAAATTTTATATTGTTTGCGTCAATTATTGAGAGAACTCTCATTGGTCGGAACCTTGTAGGGATATAAAAAAGAGAAAAAGAGAGGATTAAGCCGCTAATTATAAGTGTCCAAATTGGATATTCAGATTATTCGATTGGGATTGAGGGTATATCCAATTCTAAAGTTCCCTGCTCAAAAAATAAAAAGGGTAAATAAAAAATCTAAAATTTAGTTACAATGGTACACCTTCATACAAAGTAAATTTGGGAAGTTGCTATATTCAAATGTTGTACATTGAAAATTGCTTTTGTAGATTTTGTGGCCTAACTTCAGAAAAAAATGCTGTATGTTGTATACATTTTACAACAAAAAAGAGTTGTAACATTTTATGAATGTCAATCTAATTTCAGGCTTTCAAAAACACAAATCTTTAAGGTTTCAATTTAGGCAAGTGTTGGCAGTCTGGAATTACTAAGAATATATGCGCTTAGGTATTCTAAACTTTAAACATTTATATTTTATTTCTACTTTTTAATTTTCATTAAAAACTATTCTCTTTCTTTTCGTTTGTTTGTTTTCTGTTTTGGTCTTTTCACTGTTATCTTACTTTTTGTCAATATTTTATGATTTTTCATCGTTTTTTTCCCTATATTTTAATTTTTGTACTTGTTTTTTTTCATTGTTCCTTTTTTGTACTTGTACTTTTCTTGTACTTTGTACTTTTCAACGTGTTTTTTTTCTGTGTTTTTATCTTTTTTCATTGATAAATTTTGTCTTGTGTCAATTAAGTATAATTTGAAAATTATTATTTAGAAATCCCGTTGAATATCTCAATTGGATGAAAGAGCAGTAATGGCTTTGTCTCTTCCAAACCAACATATTCAAAATTATTGCACTCTGGATCAAGGTCATTAGACGCCATTTTGAAATTAAGCCGATATTTTTCCAAAGTGGTTGTGGTTGTGTAATTAATAAAATCCAAGATGGTGGTTGTGTAATTAATTAAATCCAAGATGGTGGTTGTGTAAGATTAATAAAATCCAAGATGGTGGTTGTGTAAGATTAATAAAATCCAAGATGGTGGTTGTGTAAGATTAATAAAATCCAAGATGGTGGTTGTGTCAGATTAATAAAATCCGAGATGGTGGTTCTAAGATTAATAAAATCCAAGATGGTGGTTCTAAGATTAATAAAATTCAAGATGGTGGTTGTAAAATTAATAAAATTCAAGATGGTGGTTGTAAGATTGATAAAATCCAAGATGGTGGTTGTAAGATTAATTAAAATCCAAGATGGTGGTTGTGAAAGATTAATAAAATTAAAAATGGTGGCTTTAAAAGAATAATTAAATTCAAGATTAGTAAAATCCAAGATGGTGGTTGCAAGATTATTAAAATCCAAGATGGTGGTTGTGAAAGATTAATAAAATTAAAGATGGTGGCTTTAAAAGATTATAAAATTCAAGATTAAAAAAATACAAGATGGTGGTTGTGTAGGATTAATAAAATTGAAGATGGTGGTTGTGAAAGATTAATAAAAGTGGTTGTAAGATTAATAAAATCCAAGATTGTGGTTGTCAAAGATTTATAAAATCCAAGATGGTGGTTGTGTAAGATTAATAAAATCCAATATGGTGGCTGTAAGTCTAATAAAATCCAAGATGGTGGTTGTGAAAGATTAATAAAATTCAAGATGGTGGTTGTAAGATTAATAATCCAAGATGGTGGCTTTGAAAGTTTAAATAAATCAAAGTTGGTGGTTTTGAAAGATTAATAAAATCCAAGATGGTGGTTGTAAGATTAATTAAAACCAAGATGGTGGTTTCAAAAGATTAATAAAATCCAAGATGGTGGTTGTAAGATTAATAAAATCCAAAATGGTGGTTATAAGATTAATAAAATCCAAGATGGTGGTTGTAAGATTAATCAAATCTAAAATGGTGGTTGTATGATTAATAAAATCCAAAATGGTGGTTGTATGATTAATAAAATCCAAAATGGTGGTTGTATGATTAATAAAATCCAAAATGGTGGTTGTAAGATTAATAAAATCCAAGATGGTTGTTGTAAGATTAATAAAATCCAAAATGGTGGTTGTAAGATTAATAAAATCCAAGATGGTTGTTGTAAGATTAATAAAATCCAAGATAGTGGTTGTAAAATTAATAAAATCCAAGATGGTGGTTGTAAGAAAATAAAATGGCGGACTAGTTAGATTGAAAGAGAAAAATGTTCTCGTGATTGGAAATGAAGGAGAGGGAATCCCTTATCCTTTACTTCAAATAGTAGACCAAGGTAATTATTGTATTTTAAAGGGATTGCTCAGATATTTGACCAATGAACAATATTGGAGAGGAGGTACCAATTATTAATTATTTTTGTAGATATATATAATATATATTTTAATTTCTAGTTAATCAATAATCATTGTTAAGATCTCTAGATTCAAAAAAATGTTAAGAACAAATTCATTATCTAATTATAAAGAATTGGTAATTTCCATTCTTGATCTAAAGAAATATGAATTTCGAATACATAGCAATCATGATAATTTTTTAAACTTGTAATAAATTGTACAAAACCAGTTCATATAATAAGAGGATGTTTATTGTTTAACAGAAAAACTTCTGGAAAAAATACATCTTTTAAAAGTTAAAATTTTTTATTTTAGGATTGTTCATAAAGTCAGGGAAAGGCGTGGCTCAAGGAATCATTTTTATTTAAATGATATTTTACATTTTTTACATTTTATTTAATTTGCTTGTTTTTTCTTTATTTTTTTATAGTCCTAAGAAACTCATATAGAGTTATAATCAGGATGATTAATTCGTAGATTTTAGAGTTGCTAATTGTTTTTTATGTAAAAATTTTTAAATGGACTGTACACGTAATTTTAAGTTACCCTCGATTAGAAGAGGACATGTCCGATTCCCAGCGCTTTTACCCTTACAGCTTTGGATGATCAAAAATGCAGAGATATTAATTTTTTTTCTTCGAACAAATTTCGAATTTTCAATTGTGGTTTTTCTCTAGTGACTTGCTCATTGTTGCTTCATCAACAATTAGACCAAATTTAATTAAAAAATGTTTAAGCTAGACAAACAGCAATATCTTTCACATTATTAATAAAGATTTTATGGTTACTGTTGTGAATCTGGCATTCCTCTTATCACTTATCACTTATCACTTTAAGATTTAGTTAATAGTTTAATCAACAAACATTGATCGTTAATTGGTGGCAATAAATCATTGTATTCTTATCTTTTAAATACTTTGATTCAGACGACTATGTGGATAGTCTTAACGTGAGTGTTGCTACAGGAATAACACTTCAAGCCCTTTTCAACAACAATAGCAACAACATTAACAACAAAAATAATGATGATAATAATGATAACAGTGCCAATAACATCAGATGATGCACGGTGTTTAATCATATTCGATTATGGAATAATTATGATTTTAATTATTATAACTTCTATCTGAAATTGTTAAATCATAAGCACTAGCTTTAACATCATAAATATTATCTTCAACATCAACAATAATAGCTTCAATATCACCAATATAAGCTTCAACATCAACAATAGTTCTATATCACCAATATAAGCTTCAACATCACCAATATAAGCTTAAACATCAACAATAGCAGCTTCTATTTCACCAATATAAGCTTCTATATCACCAATATAAGCTTCAACATCAACAATAGTAGCTTCTATTTCACCAATATAAGCTTCAACATCAACAATAGAAGCTTCTGTTTCAGAACCATTGATAAAGCACAGAAAAGTCCTCATTACCAAATCAACAATATTGATGAAATCTTAATGTTGTTTTTTTATCACTTATTTTTATTTTTTCAGACCAAAAAATGGCGGAAGAAGAGCGGAAACCTAAAAGGGATTAATTTTTGCTCAACATTTTTTATATTATTATTTTTTATGTTCTCGAGTATTGTGACATCCACATTTGAAATACATTCGAAAATTAACAAAGTTTGAAATTCATCTCTGCAATTCTTCCTCCCAGTGCTAGAAACTTTTGAATTGATTAAAATAATTTGAATTTTCTTTTTCACAATCTTGTCTCTCATTGGTCAGACCCCTAAAAAGAAATAAACTGATTGTTAGATCATGAGAGGTTCTGACTCTGCAAGCATAATTTCTAGTGACTCTTCATGCAAAGATGGCAATGTCCGGTATCCTTGAAACCTGTATCTGATCAATAATTTGGAAATTATGTTGCTTTTCTAGGTTTAAACATGTTCTGCTAATTCCGTTATGTTTTTCTGCAGTAGAAATGCGGAAGTCACTTATGGAGAGTAATATCTAATTTATACTTGATCAGACAAAGTATTTTAAAGTATAGTTGTAATTGCTAGCTATATTTTCACGTAGAATTACGCTTTAAGGTTTAAAGTTACCAAGAACCAAATATATTGAATCAAGAAACATAGTTGAACAACCTAGACTGAGCTTCTCTTCAGCTTTACTCCTCACACTGCCTTCGGGGTTCAAATTTGTTGCCATTTATTAAGTCAGATCCCAACATTGAAAATTAAATCAGATTACCATTATAGATGATTAAATTTTTAAAAAGACCATGATAAAAACTAATTAAGAAATGAGTTAATTAATTAATCCTGTAGTTCCCGAGAACGGATGAGGGATGCTGTGAATAATACGCGGCGGAGAATCAGTGGAGAGGTAGGAATTTATACTGAGCTGGGAACTCTTGTACTGTGGATATCGAGATCAATGATTGAAGTAGATTTTTTTCCCAATCTGCAGATTAGTTCCATCCGCAGTGTAATTGTAACCTGAAGGGATCACTGAAATATAAAGATTAAGCATTGATCCTCAGATCAAAAGTGCGCATAGTGGATTTCGAGATCAAGCGTTTGGAATTATAAGTATTCAACACAAAAGTTTCCAGCTCTGTTTATATTGTACTGTAATGTACTTCATTCATATTTCATATTTTAACTACAAAGCCTGAGATATTACAAATAAGCAATCTCAATTTTTCTATGCATTTTGAACCCGACTAAGGTTGATGTGATTGTTCGTGTAGTCGATTGAATAATTGAATCTTGATTGATTGCGTCTTGATTGGTTGATTGATGTAGGTTTTCCACGTGATCGCTGGAAATGATCAACTGATGAGATTTCGTGTTCTCTCAGATGGCCAACTATCTCTTGAGAGGTAAATGGTCACATACAATCAGAATTGTTCTGGATCCGAAATATTATAGCTCCCGGGATCTGGATCCGCAACATTATTGCTCCAAGGATCCGGATCCGCAACATCATAACTCCCGGGATCTGGATCCGCAACATTATTGCTCCAAGGATCCGGATCCGCTACATTATAGCTTCGGATCCAGATCCGCAAAAATATACGCATCCAAATCCCAAATTATCAACAAAAACATTGGGGGATAAAACCTTTCATTTACACA